TCTTATGAACTATGAATAAAAAAAATTGAAATCAACCCATACTAGAGGAATCTGAATTATCTTTCTATTCAAGATTATACTATAAAATCGTTGTCATATAAAGAAGTAATCAAAGAACATACAGAGAAAAAACTAGAGAGAGGACTATTCTAGAGATATAATATAAACAAAGGTAATAAAATGATTTTATTATTGTTTGTTGTATTTTGTTATCATTTGTTGTTCTGATGTTTTGCCAGCTTTTAAAATTTTGCAATTGTTGTGATTTCTTTTCTCATATCCAATTTTGTACTCATAATTTTGTAATCTTTTATCTTAAAGAGTATCCTCCCCTCCAAATTGTGTAAATTTCAAGCCCCACAAAATCTGGATTCTTCTCTGGGCCTGTGACTTTGAGCAAGTTATATGAGCCCCCAGTTTTCTTATCTGGAAGGTGGGAATCACCATATCTGCTGCCTTAGGAAGTGAGATGGTGGAGGTGAAATGACTTCATTATTAGCTACAAAGAACCATACACATGTAAGCGAAGTAGGACTGCTTCCTCCTCAAAGAAATAAATCTTTCATTTTCCCCAAGAGGTAATGTTATCTTTTCAGTGATCATATTTTACATTTGGGGTTATCTTGACTTACAGGATGGACCATGATCCCTTTGGAGAGCTTCACATAGGTGACAAACAGCGTCAGGCAGAGTAAAAAGCTGAGGAAAGAATGATGGTGCTAGCACAAACCCATCCATTACCACTGCTGGAAAACCAACCAAGTTTTCCCTGCTTCTGATACAAGGACATCATTTAGCATTTAAATTCAGTAATTTTCCAAATATGTAGATGGCATCTATTAAAATACAATTTTTTAGGGGAAATTGTACAGCTTATTTCATTGCTTTAGTATTTAACCAGGGAAAAATGGAAATAGGGAAGTTCCATTCAATGAACACCTATTATATGTGAGGGTCTGTGTTAGGTGCTTTTATATACATCGCCCCAAACTCTCACAATATCCCTGGATATTACTGACCCCATTTTGCAGAAGTAAAAACTATGGCTCTCTCTACAGTAGCCTTGCCACTGGGTTGACATATTAGGACTCTGCTCCTTCCCCAGATATGCCAAATACATGCTGACCACATGTGTCTCCTTTGCCTAGCTACTAAAGGAGTGATTCTCAAACTCTTGCCCAGAGATTTTGTGGAAACATTGCAGGGCCCTATACCCCAAGAATTCTGATTCAGTATTTCTGGGGTGGGACCTGATAATTTTGCATTTCCAATAAGTTCTCAAGTGCTGTTGATGCTGATGGAGAACCCCCTTCGAGAATCACCTTGCTCCAATTCATTTTAACCATTGATGTATCTCTGCTTTTATTTTTAAAGATATTGTTTTATTGGGGAATTGGGGAAGGGAACAGTGTTGGGGACTTGATGAAGGGGAACAATGTGTTTTTACAGGACCCATCAGCTCCAAGTCAAGTAGTTGTCCTTCAATCTAGCTGTGGAGGGTGCAAGCTCAGCTCCAAGTCCAGTTGCAGAGGGGGGGGCAGGGGAAGGGGGCACAGCCCACCATCCCATGCGGGAGTCCAACTGGCAACCTTGTTGTTAAGAGCACGCGCTCTCACCAGCTGAGCCATCCAGCTGCCTGTTGGCAGCTCAGCTATGGCGCAGCTCACTGGCCCATGTGGGAATTGAACAGGCAACCCTGTTACTCAGAGCTTGGGTTCTAATGGACTGTGTCACCCAGCTGGCCCCAATTGCTGCTTTGATATGCTAAAATAGTCACATCCTGAACCTGGGCTTTGAACCTGGATGTTTGGACAATTTCTAGATTGTCCAAAAGTATTTCATTTAATTAAAATACTTGATTAATTTATCAAATCCAAGGTACCAATGATTGTAAGACACACCTGGATTTAGAAAACAAAACAAAACAGAAAAACAACAGCAAAAACCTAAGCCTAAAAGACTCGAGTGACTTGCCTATATTCACAGTATTAGATATTTTAAAGCAAGGTCTGTTTGATCCCATCCTCTCCAGTACCAGTTCATTGCTACATGCTGCTTACAATATAGTTTTTCTTTTCCTATATGCTTGTCTGTTTTAAATTGATGAATCCAGCTCATACAGTCACAATTGCATGCAAAAAGAGTTTTGTAGGGCCGGCCGAGTGGCGCGTTGGTTAAGAACTGCCTTGGGGGGCCGGCCGAGTGGCGCGATGGTTAAGAATTCGCTTGGGATGCCAGAGGGCCCCGGTTCGGATCCCACATATGAGGGCCAGTGACACTGCCCTCTACAGCTAAGATGCTGAACAACAGCTCAACCTGGAGCTGGGCTGCCATGAGTCGCCGGCGACGGCATAGGCTGCACTCCCTGTGGCAGTGAGTTGCCATGGGCTACCGTATGTAGCCAGCAGCCAGCGTGAGCGGCCAGCAGCCGCAGTGAGCGGCCGTCCAGAAGCCGGCGACTGATCTGCCTTGCCAGAGAAGAGAGCAATGATGGTGCCAACTTGGGCCAGTGAAGCAACATCCTCCACAACTAGATTGAAGAACAAAACGACAGCAACTTGTCTGTTCCCCTTCCCCCAATTCCCCAGCACTGTTCCCATCCCCCCAATTCCCCAATAAAAATTAAAAAAAAATCTTAAAAAAAAAAAAAAAAGAACTGCCTTGGGGTGCCAGAGGGCCCCGGTTTGGATCCCACATATGAGGGCCAGTGACACTGCTTTTCTGCAGCTAAAATGGGAACAGCAGCTCAACCTGGAGCTGGGCTGCCGTGGGTCATCGGCGATGGCATAGGCTGCAGTCCCCTGCTGCAGTGGGCTGCCGTGGGTCATCGGCGATGGCATAGGCTGCAGTCCCCTGCTGCTGCAGTGGGCTGCCATAAGCTACCGTGTGTAGCCGGCAGCCAGTGTGAGCGGCCAGCAGCCAGTGTGAGCGGCCAGGAGCCAGTGTGAGTGGCCAGCAGCCGCTGTGAGCGGCCGACCAGAGGCCGGTGACTGATCTGCCTCGCCCAGGAAGAGCACAATGATGGTGCCAGCTTGGGCCAGTGAAGTAACATCCTCCACAACTGAAGAACAAAACAACAGCAACTTGTCTGTTCCCCTTCCCCCAATTCCTCCCCAGCGCTGTTCCCCTCTCCCAATTCCCCAATAAGAAAAATCTTAAAAAAAAAAAAAAGAATTTTGTAGATCAGATGTCTAGTGTACATGCATATGTCTTCACTTTATTCATTTAGAAATGCATACTTTATCATGGATTTATGGAAAGTCAGGAGTATAACTAATGCAATAAAATATGCTTTAAATGGTGCTTAAATGTACAACTCTTTAATAGGGATTTTAAAATCTGAAAATGTTTTAAATGCATAATAAACTACTTTACCATTAACCACACTGTTCATTATCATATTAAAATGCACCATCTAAAATCAGATATCTGATTCCATGCTACAAAATTCAAGACTAATTTCTTTAGCCAGAAAAACAAATAGTAAAGCAACATTCTCAAGTTGCAGATTGACAGTGCCAAGCTAAAATGGTTTTCCAAGAGGCAGTTATATATATTTTTTATCAGAATTGAAAATACACAGAGTCCATATGCTTCTATCCACTAAATTTTAAAACTGAGGTGAGTTTGGTAGTCAGTAGATTTTCATGGGAGTTTTGTAACTTAAGATTTTAATGAAAATAAAAACTCTGGGGTTAGCCTACGCATGGGAGTGGGATGCCAATCCACTGTCTTAAAATTGGACACCTTGTCTGAGTTTGTGATTTTTTGTGTTTACTTTTTCATTTGTAGGTCAAGACTAAAGCGGTGGAGGGAGAGAGAGAGAGAAGGAAAATATTTACTTTGGAACAGGAAACGTTTATCATTCTATAACAAACAAAAGTTTTAGGAATTATATTTTATAGGATTAACAGAGTATAATAGCTAGAATTTTCAAAACCTAAGGGGCGACTCTTACCTGTTTAGGAAAATGTGTGAGAGAACATAATTTTCATGTTATGAACCCAAAGCCACAGAGATTCTGAAAAACCATATGCCTAGAGGGAATATCATCCCAGAGAGCTTGTCAAGTAGGTAAGAGCAGGTAACCTGAGCTAGGAGGATTTAAGTGAACTTTGGGTCCAGCCTATGAGTCATCATTGCGGTTCAAATCAGCTATCGTTGCGGTTCAAATGAGCTCAGAGCTAGCAGCAGGGCTCCTCCACTAATTTGGAACACACAAGCTTCAAGAAAGATCCATTAATTCATAAAGTTTTAAAATATTTATTGAGCACCTAGTAATGAGGGTAGGCACTGGGAATATAAAGATGAGTAAGATTCTGTCCTTGCCCTTAAGGAGCTTACACTCTCGCGGGGAGAGTCAAATAAAGGCATAAATAAGTGTATTACGACATTTAAAAAACAGACATTTAGATAAGCTACGGTGGAAGCATTAAAAAGGAAGTGTTAAAGTCTCTGTGGAGAGCCCACTGAAGCAAGCAAGACTTCTTGAGTTGGGGCAGGCTTGATGGATTGGCTGATTAGCCGTGGAGACAGGGAGCGGCGCTCTGGGCAGAGGAAACCACCGCGCAAGCGGAAACGGCATGAGCACAAACATGGAGGCGTAAAACTGCTTGTTCTGCTCTGGACTCGCCCTCATACTCCTTTGTCTCCAGACAAGGAAGCGAAAAGGGGGAGAAAAACAATTCGATCCCTCACGGTAGGATAGGTCTAAAGAAGTTTGGGAATATAAATCCTAGCAAATAGAGCTACAAGGCATACTCTAGCCTGAGGAAATTCATAAGAGCTGAAATAGGCGCCGCCAAGTTTCCGACAAGTGGGGGCTCCGGTGGCGGCGGGGGCCTGCGACAGTTTAATTGGGCGGTCGTGGACATTTGGTCCTCAGGACACCCAGCTCCGGGTCCCCGCCCCGACGGCTGACCCGGCGGATCTGCCAAACGCACAAAGCCCTCTGGAGGCCTCAACTACTGCAAATCCCTCTCCCCGACTCGGGAGCCTACCTGCTCTTCCGTCACTGCTCGGGCGACTCACTCCGCGCCACCGAGAGCCGGCGGTGACGGCTGTTTCCCGGCCTGGCCCACCCAAGCGGTTCACTGCAAACGGCCCGGAACGGACTCCGGCAGCCGGCCCCGGCGCAGGCTACTCACACGCAGGCCTGACGCGGGCGGCCGCACCTCGCGCAGGCCCAGATCCGCGAGGCCGACCTGCGACACGCGCCGCGTCCTCTCGCTTGAGGCCCTAGAGCTTCGCGCGGTCGGAGGCTCGAGGGTGAGCGCGCGCCTCCGCGGCTGCCGGCGCGCGCATGTGTGTGTGTGTGCGTGTCTGCCCCCTCACCTTGGGTTTTATTTAACTGCCCCCACCCCCGGTTTTGAGAGCTTTCTCTCTTCAAGCTACTTGAGTCAGTCAGTCTAACAATAGGAGTGGTTTAGGCCTACACGTCTGAGAACTCCCAGGGCGCTGGACAGAGAAGGTGGGTGTGTAAATTGTCACCTCACACAGTCGCAACCCGGACCCCGGAGGAAGGACCTGCCTTCCCGGTACTGTGGGCCCGCTTCGGCCTTCTCCTGGGAAAGAACGTTAGGGCCCGACTTCCTCGCTCAGGGCCGCTTACCCTAGGCCCTAGGGGACCTACGCGCCCGCCTCGCCTGCCGCCATTTCCCAGCAGGCCTCGGGGGGGCCTCCCAGCCTGAGCCTTCCTGGCGGCTGCTCCGGGCCTTGGCGGCAGCCGCGCGGCGAAGGAACGCGCCTTGGCCGGGACCAGTGCGCGGACAATGACCCCTTTTCCCCTCGACGGCTCCTCCTTGCAGACACCCCCCTACCCCCCAAGCCCCCAGGCAAACCTATTAGCCATTCAGGCCGACAAAACCCCCGCGGCCCCGCGCATTGTCCCGCCGAGCGCCCGGCCACCGTCATTAGCCCTGATTATGCTGAGCCGCCTGACAGCCCTGCGGG